TGACAATCTTCCTGAAAATGTGAGACAGGCGTCTTCTCTGACAACGTTCAAATCCAGGTTAAAACATTTTAGTTTCACTTTCATTATATCTTTACCCTCTGTTAATACCATGATTATTTATAATTTTAAACCATATGTCATTCACTTGCCTTTTTTATCCATTAGTTTTAATATTTTCAAAAACCATGAAGACAAACGGTCGCATTTCTCGCCAAAATCGCCGGCGTAGGTCACAGCCAGAGGACGCCGTCTCCTATAGCGACCATAAAGCCTGCCACATACACAGCCACACTGATGAACTCACCCAAAACGTCACTCTGCTGTTATTTATGCTTCGAAATCTCCATAAACATCTCCGCGGGGGTAATGTATGCGTCAGGGAATAGAGGTCGGAAAACCCTACACGGATAACCCCGAGATGAACCGGGAGCGTGGCTAGTTTCCCGTTCCTTTAGCGGCGGTCAAAACAAAACCAGGAGAATTATTCGGTCGATCTGCGGCATTTGCATAAGGCACAAGAAGGAGCTATGATAATCTGAGCTAAAACCAGTCAAGAGCACATATGCCGCGGGATTTCCATACAGCGCCATATGTTTAATGTATGCGGCGAGAAGCAGAGGTCAGGCCCACGCCGCCGGAATGGGACGGATAACCTCGAAGAGAACTTTTCAAAATGGAATTTTTGAGGCTGATTGTGGTCGAGTCAGACGTGTGACGGTGTGAGGGAGTTTGTGGTTGGTGCGTTTGGGTCTGCATAGGTCCAAACATAATATTAGTGTAAATCAGGGCAGTCAAAGCGGGTCCAGATGGTTCCGTGTGGCTGCAGGTTTTCAGTCCAACATGAGCAGAGCACAGCAGACTCCATTTCCTCAGATCCTCAGGTAAAAACTGGACTTACCTGAAGAAATGGGTGGAGTGCACTCTCGCTTCTCAGCAAGAAAGTCCTGGGTTCAAATCCCGGTCGAAACAGGGCCTTTCTGAGTGGAGTTTGCATGTTCTCCCTGTATCTGCGTAGGTTTCCTCCGGGTGCTCCGGTTTCCTCTACCACTAAAAACATGCACAATAGGTCTGAATGTAAATGAGAGAGTGAATGGATGGTGTTGGGTCAGAGGCTTTGATGGTCCAGTGTGTTCTGGACTCGCTTCTGTCATCACCGTGTGTGGAAGGATTGGAACAATATCTGACTCTGACTCAGGGGTGACTGTGTGGACGAGAGGCAGCTTCACCCGCGACACCGAGTCACTCATTCACCAGCGTTTGTCCGCCCACGCCACGGCGAGCAGCCACAGGAATCACAATGAGAGCCTGAGCCGCCGAGACGTTAGACCGTGACGTTAGACCGAGACGTTAGACCGTGACGTTAGACCGTGACGTTAGACCGTGACGTTAGACCGTGACGTTAGACCGTGACGTTAGACCGTGACGTTAGACCGTGACGTTAGACCGTGACGTTAGACCGTGACGTTAGACCGAGGAAAAGGACTGGTCCTGGTCCAGGGCTGAGTTTAAAAACATAAGAGCGGGTCGAGACCAAAGTATTGTAGTAGTTTGTTTATTGTTTTCTGGGAGGTTTGGATCCATTTCTGGGTCGGGGGCAGTCAGAGCTCCAGCCCCTCATTGATCCTCTGCAGGGGCTGAGTCCACAGACGCCTTGATCGGTCAGTGAGGGCTTCAGGCAAAGTGGGGTTAAGGGTCTTGCCCAAGAACACAACGACAGCGCTCCACCAACTGTGCCAGTGTAGCCCCAGTTCTAGTTCTGTATCTACAGTATATATTCTGTTCATTTATCTATTACACATCACCACAGATTCTCCATGACATTATTCGTGCAGATCTATGGGACGTCTGTGTGAAGAATGGACTCCCCGATCTATCTGTCTGTCTATCTGTCTGTCTGTCTATGTATCTATCTATCTATCTGTCTATCTATCTATCTATCTGTCTGTCTGTCTGTCTGTCTGTCTGTCTATGTATCTATCTATCTATCTATCTATCTGTCTGTCGGTCTGTCTGTCTGTCTGTCTATGTATCTATCTATCTATCTATCTATCTGTCTGTCTGTCTATGTATCTATCTATCTATCTATCTATCTGTCTGTCTGTCTATGTATCTGTCTGTCTGTCTGTCTATCTATCTATCTATCTATCTATCTATCTGTCTGTCTGTCTGTCTATGTATCTATCTATCTATCTGTCTGTCTGTCTGTCTGTCTGTCTGTCTGTCTGTCTATGTGTCTGTCTGTCTGTCTGTCTGTCTATGTATCTATCTATCTATCTATCTGTCTATCTATCTATCTATCTGTCTGTCTGTCTGTCTATGTATCTATCTATCTGTCTATCTATCTATCTATCTGTCTGTCTGTCTGTCTATGTATCTATCTATCTATCTATGTATCTATCTATCTATCTATCTATCTGTCTGTCTGTCTGTCTGTCTGTCTGTCTGTCTGTCTGTCTGTCTGTCTGTCTGTCTGTCTGTCTGTCTGTCTGTCTGTCTGTCTGTCTCTATAATAACATAAATGTTGTCAGTGACGGGGACTGGACCAAAGCCTGTGTTGCCAGATCACTGTAACAACAAGAACAATGTCAGTGAGACATCAGAGACTTCACGCTCACACGGGGGTCACTGCTCTTACCGCCTACCGCCCTGGCTGCTCCGCACATCTGCTCCCGTCCCCTTGGGGAAGTTCCAACATGGCGCCCGGGTGTTCAACAACCTTCACCTCGCGTTTGTCGACTGCGGTGCCCTCTCCCCCCTCTCCCCCCCCCCTCCCTCTCCCCCCCCCCCCCCCCCCCTTCTCCCCCATCCGCGCTCCCCCGTTGTGTTTAAACGATGCAAAAGGCCGCGATGCGAGACTAGTGGCGTTTCATTCTGCATGTATTCACCTGCGCCTCAGGTTTAGCCGCGTGTGTCGATGGTGCCGCTGCAGGAGGATTGCTAACCACATTGAATCAAGCAACTTAGAAGCGTGGCTAACCATTTGTTTACCCTGCCTCAGTCCATCAGTGGAGATTGGACAAACTTTCTCCTGCAGCTTTCAGCAGACTCAGAGGCAGTTGAAGTTCAAAAGTCTTATTATGCTCAATGCCATCCATCCATTTTCTTCCGCTTCATCCGTTGCCGGGTTGCGGGGGCAGCAGTCCAAGCAGAGACGCCAAGACTTCCCCATCCACACACACTTCCTCCAGCTCATCCGGATATCCGAAGCCACTGTGGATATTATGCTCAATGTACAGACTTACAGCAGTTTTACACATGTCCCCCTCCCTCCCTCATCCTCCCCCCTCCCTCCCTCATCCTCCCCCCTTCCCTTGTCCCCCCCTCCCCCGTCCTCCCCCGCGGTGCGAGATCAGCGGCCCATGTGTGTGTTACCTGTGCGCTCCGAGGCGGGTGCGAGCTGCAGCCTGCGGTAAAAGACACTGGTGCTCGATGAGGCGCAGCTTCAGGAGATTAAACCCATTGTTGTCTTGTCGCGGCCCATAATGCATTCTGTCATCGCAGCGTCTCTGTCTCATGTAATCTGTCACAAAGTTAGCAAAGCCGCGCAAGACGCTCACTGTCGAATCTGGACCAGACACGCCAGAATCACTCACATTATCAGCCAGATGTTTCCACCAGCCTTACTCTACTGTACTGTACTGTGCTCTACTGTACTCTACTCTACTGTACTCTACTGTACTGTACTCTACTCTACTGTACTCTACTCTACTGTACTCTAGTCTACTGTACTGTACTCTACTCTACTGTGCTCTAGTCTACTCTACTATACTGTACTCTACTGTACTGTGCTCTACTCTACTGTACTGTACTCTACTCTACTGTACTCTAGTCTACTGTACTGTACTCTACTGTACTCTACTGTACTCTAGTCTACTATACTGTACTCTACTGTACTGTGCTCTACTCTACTGTACTGTACTCTACTCTACTGTACTCTAGTCTACTGTACTGTACTCTACTGTACTCTACTCTACTGTACTCTACCCTACTCTACTGTACTCTACTGTACTCTAGTCTACTATACTGTACTCTACTGTACTGTGCTCTACTCTACTGTACTGTACTCTACTCTACTGTACTCTACTCTACTGTACTCTAGTCTACTGTACTGTACTCTACTGTACTCTACTCTACTGTACTCTACTCTGTTCTACTCTACTGTACTCTACTCTACTGTACTCTACTCTACTGTACTCTACCTTACTCTACTCTACTCTAAGCTACTCTACTCTACTCTACTCTAAGCTACTCTACTCTACTCTACTCTACTCTAAGCGACTCTACTCTACTCTACTCTTTCTACCCTACTCTACTCTACCCTACTCTACTCTACTCTACTCTAAGCTACTCTACTCTACTCTACTCTTTCTACCCTACTCTACTCTACTCTAAGCTACTCTACTCTACTCTACTCTACTCTTTCTATCCTACTCTACTCTACCCTACTCTACTCTACTCTAAGCTACTCTACTCTACTCTACTCTGTCCTACCCTACTGTACTGTACTGTACTCTACTCTACTCTACCCTACTCTACTCTACTCTTTCTACTCTACTCTACTCTACTCTACTCTACTCTACTCTACCCTACTCTACTCTACTCTACTCTACTCTACTCTACTCTACTCTACTCTACTCTACTCTACTCTACTCTACTGTACTGTACTGTACTGTACTCTACTGGCGGCTGAGGTTGTAAAGTGTCAAATTGCCGTTGTGTCCTTAGGCAAGACACTTCACCCCCATTGCCTAGAATGACCCTAGTGTGTGTGAATGGTTGGTGGTGGTCGGAGAGATCGCTTCTGTCAGTGTGCCCCAGGGCAGCTGTGGCTACAGTAGTTTATCACCACCGTGTTTGGAGAGAGAGGATAATGACATGTGAGTCGTCTTTAAGAGTCCAAAAAAGCGCTGTATAAACCGATGCATTATTATTATTATTATTATTATTATTTTCTCTAAAACCTGTTCTGATGTTGTTCTTTCTGTTCTTTCTCTCTGCAGTGACGGGGTTTCCCTACCCAGCCACAGGGGCCACCGTGGCCTACAGAGGGGCCCATTTGAGAGGCCGAGGGCGGGCCGTCTACAACACCTTCCGCACCGCGCCCCCTCCTCCACCCATCCCCGCCTACGGAGCGTGAGTACAACACACACACACACCTACACACGCACACACACACACACACGCAAACGCACACACACTCACACACACACACACACGCACGCACGCACGCACGCACGCACACACACACACACACACACGCACGCACGCACGCACGCACGCACGCACGCACGCACGCACGCACGCACGCACACACACACACACACACACGCACACACGATGGTCTTTCTGGGTTTGCTTCTTGAGCATTGCAAAGGAAGGTTTCTCACCCATCATCTGTACTTCTTAGCAAGTTTTCCCGACGTTTCGTCCTCAACCTGGAGACTTCTTCAGGGAATGAATTCTCGGACCGCGCGTTGGAGACTGTACAGGACTGAGGCTGTAGACCCAGGACTGAGACTGTAGACCCAGGACTGAGGCTGTAGACCCAGGACTGAGACTGTAGATCCAGGACTGAGGCTGTAGACCCAGGACTGAGGCTGTAGACCCAGGACTGAGACTGTAGACCCAGGACTGAGGCTGTAGACCCAGGATTGAGGCTGTAGACCCAGGACTGAGGCTGTAGACCCAGGACTGAGGCTGTAGATCCAGGACTGAGACTCTGTTTGAACTATTTTAAAGTATTTGTCCATAGTGTCGTCCCCTTTAACAGCGGCAGTCGTTGACAGAGCTACATTACCCAGTGCTTTAGCTCCTGGATGTTATCAGCCGTAAACGTGGGTAAAGATCACTTAGCATTCATTCTGAGCCATTTCCTCTGAGACAAAATAAAGATAAGTGAAACTATTTTCCGCTGTATCTTCCGCCGCTGGAATATATGAGCGTACATTAGAGACGGAGACATTTGCATAGAGTCTGTTCTCGGCTAAAACTGCAGCATCTGAGGAATAATGACTCCTTCAGCTGTTATTCCATTATTCAATTAGTCCGTTTGTTGATACAGACGATAAGAAAAGGCTTCTCATGTCCAGGATCAAACCAAGACTTTTCACAAATATAAACAGTACAGAGCAAAAGTGTGGACACCCCCTCTCCGTCACTGAGTTCTGTTCATGACTATTGCTGTAGACCCGCACCAGGCTGTGTCAGGGCCGGACCTGAACCCAGTCCAGATGGTTTTGGACCTGAACCCAGTCCAGATGGTTTTGGACCTGAACCCAGTCCAGATGGTTTTGGACCTGAACCCAGTCCAGATGGTTTTGGACCTGAACCCAGTCCAGATGGTTTTGGACCTGAACCCAGTCCAGATGGTTTTGGACCTAAACCCAGTCCAGATGGTTTTGGACCTGAACCCAGTCCAGATGGTTTTGGGGCTGGACCACAGAGTGAAGGGGCCAACAAGTGCTAACGCATCATGGGATAGGGAACTCCTTCCAGACGGTTGGAGGGGACCATTTTCAGGTCCATGTTGAAGCTCCATCCAGAGACTGCCAAAGAGTGAATGCCTTGTGATCAGAGGGCAAAAGGATGAGCTACTTTGATGAACCAGAATTTAACATCATATTTACACTTGGGTTTCATTACTTTTTTACTACAACACATAATTCCCACATGAGTTCATCATAGGTTTGATGCCCTCACGTCGGTCAATCTACATTTTTCATACATCACTGAAGTTGTAAAAAAACTTGTGGAGTTGAGGGTGGGTGTGTCCAAACTTTTGGTCTGTGCTGTGTATGTTTCAATCTAAATGTGAACTTAGACCAGGAGTAGACCAGGGCTGAACTGGGCTAAACTCACTTTGTCTCTGTAGAAAAAATCTTGCTTTCTCTGTGTCCGGACGGTTTGATTCTCTGATCTGTTGTCTGAGAATCGACAACAGTGTAAAGTCCTCTGAGACGACTGCGGTTGTGATTTTGGGCGATTCACAAATACATGAAATTGAAGTGAATAATGTTTAGAAATGAGACTATTTATCATTTTCAATCAAACCTTCAGTTACTTCAGTATTTTGGTTGAAACTCACATTTAAACCAAAGTAAGATTTATTAACCATTTAATACAGTTAAACATTCATTTTAGCATTTTAAATTTCAGAATGAGAATGTCTTTAGTATAAAACACATGGATGAATGAGTGGGATGGTCAGAATTGGCAACACCTCCCTCTGGTGGCAGAAGTGGGACATTACATTTGTTTTCTAAGAGATAAAACCAAACTCCAGTGTTTTCTATGAGGCGACAATGTTGTAACTCATCCATCTATCCATATTCTTCCACTTAATCCGTTGCTGGGTGGCGAGGGCAGCAATCTAAGCCGTTAAAAGAAACAAAACAAAAACACAATTTGTATAATGAGGGACGTTTAAAGCTGGGATATTTTTATTTCAAGCCCAAAAAAAACATAAACTTCTCTTGTTTTCAAATGCATGATTTTTTGCTTCTGTCACAGCTTCAGAGAAACGTTTTCAGACAGAAATGTGAAAAAGAGAGGACCACCTTCGCCGATCATCTCTCTGCCCAAAGGGTCCAATAGTGACTCACAAGGCTCGTGACTACAAGTATTCATGATATATATGTGTTTCTGATGACATGAAGACAGCATGGTCGGGTCTGGCTCCTTCACAAGATCTCACAAACTGAAAAAAATCTAGGTACCTGAGCTTTAATTCTCAAACAAGATCATATTTAATTCAATCTTTATCAAACCCAGGGCTCATTTATGTGTTAAACTCTGAGTAAAAGTAAAATAAAACATATTCAAACAGTCTAACGCATCCGAACCTCTGAACATTAGTGTAGTTCAAACAGACATAACTCTGCTCAGTGTCATTGCAGGAGATAGCTCTGTACTGTATGTATTAGCATATACCGCCCGTGTCCTGGTCTCCCCCCTCTCTCTCTCTCTCTCTTTCTCCCCTCTCTCTCTCTCTCTCTCTCTCTCTCCCCCCTCTCTCTCTCCTCTCTCTCTCTCTCCTCTCTCTCTCTCTCTCTCCCCCCTCTCTCTCTCCTCTCTCTCTCCCCCTCTCTCTCTCTCCCCTCTCTCTCTCCCCTCTCTCTCTCTCTTTCTCCCCTCTCTCTCTCTCCCCTCTCTCTCTCCCCTCTCTCTCTCTCTTTCTCCCCTCTCTCTCGCTCTCTTTCTTTCTCCCCTCTCTCTCTCTCCCCTCTCTCTCTCTCTCTCTCTCTCTCTCTCCCCCTCTCTCTCTCTCTTTCTCCCCTCTCTCTCGCTCTCTTTCTTTCTCCCCTCTCTCTCTCTCCCCTCTCTCTCTCCCCTCTCTCTCTCTCTCTCTCCCCCCTCTCTCTCTCTCTCTCTCTCTCTCTCTCTCTCTCTCTCTCTGCGCTATCGGCTCCACGTAGTTAAAGTCTCGGGAGTAGTTGCAGTAAAATGGCCGCCGTGTGTTTTACAACCTGGAAAAAACTCATTTAGCGCCGGGCGGTCGGCGTCGGAGCCACCGGGCGCATCTGCAGCCGCCGCAGAACCGCTGACGCAAGCACAGGCAGCCCGCGGCCCCCATCGAACCGGACCCCTGAGGAGGCACCGAACCGGACAGTCATGAGCCCTGTGTGTGTGTGTGTGTGTGTGGGGGGGGGTCAGCCTGGGACAGGGGGGGGCTGGGATACGTTTAAAGCTGGGATACTTCACTTTGTCCCCTCATAAATGATCCGTGTTGTTGTCCCAATAGAAAGAGTGGTGTAAAAGTCAGACCAAAACAAGCGGCTTTCACATTTAGGTCCCTGTGAGTCACTATTTGACACTTTGAGCTGAGAGCTGATTGGCTGATTGAGGGGGTGGTCCTCTCGTGTTTCACATTTCTGTCTGATAAAGCAGATCTAAAGATGGCCGTGCGTGTGAAAAGTTTATGACTGAGGCCTACACACATGTAAATGAAGTGTGTTTGTATCTATCAAAAAATATTCTACAAACTTAAATCAAAGTAATCCTTAAATCAAAATACGTTCATAAATGTTGTCCTTTTGCACACCCTGAGGGACCATAAATATTCCAAATGTGACATGTACATTTCTTCATTGTGAGATCAATAAAGTTCTATCGTATCGTATTTTATTTTATAATATTAAAAAAAAATGCATAAAAGTCGTTAGTTATCTTTGAACACTTGACCCTCGGCCCCTGGGAGCCATTACCTTTAAATCCTGGAACCAAAATGAGTTTGACGCTCCACTCCGGGTCTAGACGCCGAGTAACATGAGCAGAGCCACAATATGGCCGCCGCAGTGGTCCGTCAGCGTCAGGCCTCCATGGACTCCCCCCCCCCGAGCCTCCCCCCCGGCCTCCCCCCCAGGCCTCCCCCCCCGGCCTCCCCCCCGGCCTCCTCCCCTCTCTCCTGTGTCTGCCCTTATCAGGCCTGGGCAGTGTGGTTGTGGGAGAGGCCAGTCAGTCCGGTCGGGATTAGATCAAGATTACAGCCGCGGCTCCACAAATGGACTTCAGACAGGACTCCATCGCAGACTCCCGGGGTTCCTCACTCCCTCCTCTTCACTCGAGGGGGGGGCATCAGATAACTGGTCTTCGGTCCAATTCAAAAGGAGACTAATGCGGAATCAAGCTTTTAACATGCTGCTACATTAACCCCTCTTCAAAAACAGACCTGGAGTTGATCGAGCCTCTTCTATGCTAATATCAGCTAGCATGTCCTCTGTTAGAAATGCCTTGATTCTCTGATCTGTTGTTGGCAAATTGACAACCTTGTAATGTCCTCGCAGTTGACTCCTGTAGTGAATTAGGGCAATACACAACGGAGAAACGGCAACTTCTAGCACAAATATTAATTGAATTGAAGTCAATCCTGGGTGTGGGGTGGCAGTCAGAGCTGCACCCGATTCACTTAGCACCAGCGCCAACTGTAACTAAGTGCTGTATACATACGCAAGATGGCCGCTACAGCCAAGCTTTCTCTAGTCTCTAGACCTCTCTAGACCTTCTCTAGACCTTCTCTAGACCTCTGGAAAACGTCTTTACAGGATGGTCCAAAAGTTGTCTCTTGGCCCAAAGCTCCGTTTCACATGTGTGTTAATGCTGAGTGTTCTGGACCAGTCTAGTTTAGTCGCTGTGGACTTTAGAAGTCTCTCGTTTAAATGAATGGGGCTCGTGCAGCTGACGCATGCACAGATGTGTTTTTTCACATTTTCCAGCCCCCGCGGCCATTTTGAAACATTCCATAAAACCCCAATTTTTGGCCCATTAGTTAGAACGGCGGCAATAGGCCTGACTAGGTCTGTTGATATAAACAGTCTATGGGTGTAGCACAGATTAGCTTCTGACCTAAAATCCTCCTAAATGCTGTTAGCTTCAGCTGCACTTTGCGTTAGCGTGTCATTCATTATTTGTGCTTTCTTCTGGAGCTCGGGGACTCGAGATCTGACCTCGGGACCCGCAAATGGGGAAGATGGGGCCTCATGTAAAGAATGATTAAAAGTGCAGCAGCTGAACTTCTAGCCTCGCTGAATCATTCTGCGTCTGATCTGGAGCCGCGAGGCCCCTGAGCTCCCAACATTATTCATTCCATATGTAAAAATAAAAAGAACGCATAAAATATCAATGCAAATACGCCTTCTGCTTCCATTAGCTCACGGTCTGGACTCGGACTCAGCCTGGACTCAAACCTGGATTTAACCTGGAATCAAACCTGGACTCAAACCTTGACTCAAACATGGACTCAAACCTGGACTCAAACCTTGACTCAAACATGGACTCAAACCTGGACTCAAACCTGGACTCAACATGGACTCAAACATGGACTCAAACCTGGACTCAAACCTGGACTCAAACATGGACTCAAACATGGACTCAACCTGGACTCAAACCTGGACTCAACCTGGACTCAAACATGGACTCAACCTGGACTCAACATGGACTCAAACATGGACTCAAACCTGGACTCAAACCTGGACTCAAACATGGACTCAAACCTGGACTCAACCTGGACTCAAACCTGGACTCAACCTGGACTCAAACATGGACTCAACCTGGATTTAACCTGGAATCAAACCTGGACTCAAACCTTGACTCAAACATGGACTCAAACCTGGACTCAACATGGACTCAAACATGGACTCAAACCTGGACTCAAACCTGGACTCAAACATGGACTCAAACCTGGACTCAAACCTGGACTCAACATGGACTCAAACATGGAATCAAACCTGGACTCAAACCTGGACTCAACATGGACTCAAACATGGAATCAAACCTGGACTCAAACCTTGACTCAAACATGGACTCAAACCTGGACTCAACCTGGACTCAAACTTGGACTCAACCTGGACTCAAACATGGACTCAACCTGGACTCAAACCTGGACTCAAACCTGGACTCAAACCTGGACTCAAACCTGGACTCAAACCTGGACTCAAACCTGGACTCAAACCTGGACTCAACATGGACTCAAACATGGACTCAAACCTGGATTCAAACCTGGACTCAAACCTGGACTCAACCTGGACTCAAACCTGGACTCAAACCTGGACTCAACCTGGACTCAAACCTGGACTCAAACCTGGACTCAACATGGACTCAAACCTGGACTCAAACCTGGACTCAAACCTGGACTCAAACATGGATTTCATATTTCATGGTTTTTGTAATTTAAAAACTTTGGAAGAGTTGTCGAGAAATCTTCAATTTCAGCAACACACAACACTACACTTATATAACAATGAACTGGTTTCTGCCGCACCTCTGAAGCTAAGCAGGGCAGGGCCTGGTTAGCACTGTGATGGGAGACATCTGGGAACACCAGGTGACACAGTGGGGCGGCTGTGTGTGTGTGTACTGGATATGTGTGTGTGTGTACTGTATATGTGTGTGTGTACTGTATATGTGTGTGTGTGTACTGTATATGTGTGTGCTTGTGTGTGTTGTGCGGTCATCTGGGGACACTCTGGTCTAACCTCGCTCCTCTCCTCTTTCACAGCGTTGTCTACCAGGACGGCTTCTATGGCGCAGAGATCTATGTGAGTACCTGCTTTTCTCCTTCCTGCTGCTGTCTAAGGCGTAACACAAGTCCACAAACCTCGGATCGAAAACCCGCGGGACTTCAACCCGAGCTCCTCTGTCCGGGTTTGCTTTGCCAAAACGGCTTCATGTCTGAGGGAGGAGAACCCCAAACCCCCTCAGTGCCCAGGCCAGAATTTACCACGGAGGCTAGTGTGACCAGAGCAGGACTAAACCAGGACTAAACCAGGACTTAACCAGAACTTAATCAGGACTTAACCAGGACTAAACCAAGACTACACCAAGACTAAACCAGGACTAAACTAGACCAGAGCAGGTCTAAAACAGGACAAAATCAAGACTAGTGTAGGACTAATGCAGGACTAGAGCTAGACTAAACTAGGATTAAACTAAGACGAGTGTAAGAGTAAGACTAGAGCAGGACTATACCAGGTCTAACCCAGGACTAACGGCTCCTATAGCACCCCCAGTGGACACATAGTAAACAGCAGAACTAGTCCCAGTCCCTGTTGTTCCTTCCTGGTTTTGGGTGTGTGTAGGTTTGTTCTGGGGGTTTCTGGGGTCTTCCCGGAGCTCGGTGGGAGTCGGGGGAGATCAGAGACAGTCCGGACGATAAAACGGATTAACCGTCTCACCGGAGCTGTCCCGCACACGGGGGTCACAAGGGGAGGGGCTGGTTCCACTGTTTGTACAAGTGACATGTGACAAATGACATGTCCCTCCCAGGCTTCCATAGGGCCCTGCGGGGTCGGAAGAGACTGTGAGATTCGGGACATCTGTGATTATATTTGAGACTTATGTTGTAGTTTGAAAACAAGGAAAGGATTTGATTTCAGGTTTGGCAGTGAGTATGTCGTGGATTCTTATCACATTAGCTAAAAGTTATGGCAAAAAAGGATAAAAATGGTCACTAACGTCTTGAAATAGGTCAATTACTCTATAGATAAGTACATTTAAAAACGAAACTAGACATGTTTTTTTCAATCATCAAGAAGTTACATTATGTGTACACTGCAAAAAATGATAAAATATTACAGAATAAATGCTTGAATCGAGTGTTTTTTATCTTAATCTGACTTCGTTTAAACCAGATTCTCCAATTCCAAGGGACACATTTCTGTATCTTTTTAAAACAAGATCATTTTGCTTTGTCCCAGTGGAAAATCCAGTTTTACAGCTCAGTCAGAATCAAGTTCAAGTTCAAGTTCAAGTTCAAGTTGTCTTTATTGTCCCACTAGGGGAAATTGGTTTTGCAGCATAAATCATCTAAAAAAACAGGCAGATACAGTAAAATCACAACATTGAGAAAACAAGAACAAAAGAAAATGTCATATAACAAATTTTCAGCGCAGAGGTTTGTAAAAGTGCTATGTGCTGTTAAGGTGCTTCACAGCTGTTGGGATAAATGTAGTTCCCAACCGTTTTGTCCTACAGCCAAGAGCCCTATAGCGTCGTCCTGAGGGTAAAAGTTCAAACTGCTCCCTCAGGGGGTGGTCCAAAGAACCTTCCTCAGCACCTGCTTACTGTACAGGTCTTTGGGCTGAGCCTGTGTTCTCCCTGACACCTTACTAGCCACTTTAACCAGACTGCCAAGTCTGTTTTTGTTTGCTTGGGATAGGCTTCCAAACCATGCAGTGATACAAAATGTAAACACAGATTCAATAAAAGAACGATAAAACAAGGTCATCATTTCTGACGACACCTTAAAAGTGTTCATGCGCCTAAGAAAGTACATTCTCTGCTGCACTTTCTTACAGACTGCATCGACCAAGGGTTCAAAGCCCAGCCTGTGGTCCACAATAACCCGCAGATACCTGTACTGCTCCACAAGCTCAACATCCATGCCCCTAATAACAGTAGTCGTGGGGGCTGGAGGTGCCCTACGGAAGTCCAAAATCATGTCCTTAGTTTTTGAGATGTTCAAGTGTAGGAATGAGGCATCGCACCACTCCACAAAGTCATTAAGGACAGGTCCATGGCCCTGCTCCTCCCCAGAGAGCAGGCTCACAATGACTGAATCGTCTGCAAACTTCAAGATGTGTCTGTCCTGGTGCAGACTTCGACACTGATCTGTGTACAAAATGTACAGGAGTGGAGACAGGCAGCAACCCTGAGGAGAACCAATGGTTGTAAAGGCAACCTCTGACATGGTGCCATTAACCCTCACACACTGTGACCGAGGTGTTAGGAAGTCCAACAACCATCCAACCAAATTAAAATCAAGATTAAAATCTGAAATCAGTCGCTGTGCGAGAATGTGCTCAGATTAAGACACATTTCACCAAATTTTAGCATTTTTGGACTTATTATAAATCACTTTTTAACCTGCTATGTTTTTATATTCACGCCCATTTAAACTAGTCTATTTTTATTCTGTTCAGACCTTCTTCCCTGGAGGTGAGCACAGACCTCATGAGGGTTCAAGGCCTAAGACTCGAGAGAGCTAAAGGCTAACCACTCAATCACCATGAACTAATTAACTCTATGACGAAGCCGTAGAGTTAGAAATATCGTCTAAATCTTTCTCCATCCTGTGACCTGCTCTTTGTGCGGAGACAAAACAGTCTTTTCAGATAAAACTCGCTGTAGTGAAGCGCCGTAAAGATCCTGGAGAGTCCGCGGCCCACTTTCCCTTAATAGGCTTCCGGCTCACACTGCCAACGTGATCCGAGCCTCTGCTGCGCCCGGTATTCCCACAAGTCTCCCGTCTTCTCCCGGTTCAGTCCGGTTTGTGAGCCTCGGAAAACTAACATTATCAGACCTCGAGGATTTCTCTCCAAATAAACGGAACTAGCTCAGTTCAAAAACAAGAATTCAAATGATCAATAATCCAAACGCTGCCTCCTCCTGTTTAGTCCTGACTCAGGGACCAGCAGGAGTCCAGTCCCTGTGCTCCTCAGAGTCCCAGCAGGAGCCAGTCCCTGTGCTCCTCAGAGTCCCAGCAGGAGCCAGTCCCTGTGCTCCTCAGAGTCCACAGCAGGAGGCCAGTCCCTGTGCTCCTCAGAGTCCACAGCAGGAGGCCAGTCCCTGTGCTCCTCAGAGTCCCAGCAGGAGCCAGTCCGTGCTCCCTCAGAGTCCACAGCAGGAGGCCAGTCCCTGTGCTCCTCAGAGTCCCAGCAGGAGGCCAGTCCCTGTGCTCCTCAGAGTCCCAGCAGGAGGCCAGTCCCTGTGCTCCTCAGAGTCCCAGCAGGAGGCCAGTCCCTGTGCTCCTCAGAGTCCCAGCAGGAGGCCAGTCCCTGTGCTCCTCAGAGTCCACAGCAGGAGGCCAGTCCCTGTGCTCCTCAGAGTCCCAGCAGGAGGCCAGTCCCTGTGCTCCTCAGAGTCCCAGCAGGAGGCCAGTCCCTGTGCTCCTCAGAGTCCACAGCAGGAGGCCAGTCCCTGTGCTCCTCAGAGTCCACAGCAGGAGCCAGTCCCTGTGCTCCTCAGAGTCCACAGCAGGAGGCCAGTCCCTGTGCTCCTGAGAGTCCCAGCAGGAGGCCGGTCCCTGTGCTCCTCAGAGTCCCAGCAGGAGGCCAGTCCCTGTGCTCCTCAGAGTCCCAGCAGGAGCCAGTCCCTGTGCTCCTCAGAATCCCAGCAGGAGCCAGTCCCTGTGCTCCTCAGAGTCCCAGCAGGAGGCCAGTCCCTGTGCTCCTCAGAGTCCAAGCAGGAGGCCAGTCCCTGTGCTCCTCAGAGTCTGAGACCATGGAGAGACTTGTAACAAACAGAGCTGCTTTAAAATCTTTTCTCTGATCCACTAGACACCAGCGCAGAGACCTGAGACCAGGACTAATGTGACGGTACTTCCTGGTTCTAGTCTGTTTTCAAAAATACTGCAGCTGTTTTGTGTTGTGTGTACACAGCGGTGTGTACACAACCTCTGCTGCTGCCTCGGCTTCTAACATTACCCACAATGCCCTGCTCCTACAGTACACTCCTGGCTTCCATGTCATTAATAGCATTTCTAACCGCGGGTGATGGGCAAACACTTCACCGCGACTCCACTGTCACTTCATCGATCTGCCGGGAAGTGTGTAGTCACCGCGGGAGACGTGGAGGTTAGGTGAGGCTAGAGGGACGGGGGAGGAGGGGGGGAGGAGAGGGGAGAGACAGGAGGGAGGGGGGGGGTACCAGAGACAAACAGGGGGCCCGCGAGCCTGTGTCACCGCCATAAAACGCGGTGAAATGTAGCGCTATCATGCGGCCGCTGTAAGCCGTAGATCAGCCTCCGAGTCCGACGGGAGAGAGAGAGAAACCCCGGCTGTGGATGAAAAACACAAACAGGAAGTACATGAGAGTAACCAGTAATCTCGGCCAATCAGGCGCAGCTGATTGAAGCCGGGGTACTTATCTTAATAGAAAACAGATTTACGATCGCAGACGTGTAATCATGAGGCGCCGGAGGAAGTGCTGGGTCCACACAGACACAGAGCGGAGATGGAAGCGCTACATGTATCACTGCATCAAAGGAAAATGGGTTTTATTTTGTGTATTTTTTTAAAACATTTACAACAACAAAGCAAGATTTACACACAGACAAATACAAATACTGTACAACACACAGAGATACAAGGAGATACACAGAGACACAGAAGAACACACACACACACAGAGAAACACACAGAGATACAAGGAGATACACATAGAGACACAGAAGAACACACACACACACACAGAGAAACACACAGAGATACAAGGAGATACACATAGAGACACAGAAGAACACACACACACACACACACAGAAACACACACTGAGATACACACATACACACAGAGATACACACACACAGAGAAACACACACACACAGAGATACAGAAAAACACGCACACACAATAAACAAAAACAGAAAGCAATACCTTACACTAAGTTTCAACAAAACACATGACAGCAATATGACACACACACTCATTCTCACACACAAACACACAGACACACACACATAGACCTTAGTAGGGACAAATTAAAAAAGTTGTCCTTCCCAAAACAAAAGAATGTACTGTATAAGTTTCCGGGTGTGTGT